GTATGTATATATATACATATATGCATGCGTATGTAGAAGCATTTCTATCGCCCTTCGAGCGGTTCCTCCCGAAGGTCCTAGCGAAGGCCCAGTCCCTGCAGGACGCCTCCTCCTGCGACCCCGCCCGCACGCCGCCCGCACGCCGCCCGCGCCGTGCAGGGCGAGGCGCGGTGCCATGACGCGCAGTGCCTTCTGCCGCGGCGGCCTGCCTCCGCCGGGCGCCGCCTGGAGCTGCGCCAAGCCCTTTGTTCGAGCACCGCGGCATCAAGTGCAGGAAATCTAACAGTCGCTAATTCCTGAGCGAGGGCTCGGCGCTCCGCTCGCGCTCGCGTATCGATTTACTCGCGGGAATAAATTGGAACGAAACCTGGCGAGGCGGCGGACAAGGTCGCCTCCGCCGCCTTGTTTTGGCGATCTGTTTGGGTTCGCGGCCGAGGCTTCGTGGCCGCCTGGCGCTGCTTTAAGCGCTGTGATGATAGGGAGACCCGAGGGTAGGCCTCGGCGCCCCGGCCCGCCCCCTCGCCGGTGCGTGGCGGTGGCGGTGCGTGGCGGCGACGCGTGCCGCTACCACAACACTCGCCGTCCCCTGCCAGCCGCCCGCCCGTGACAGTTCACAGCCGACAGCGATAGGGGTCGCACGCGCGCGTCTGCGTCTCCGTAACTCAGTCATCGTCCGCAGCGGCTGGCGATTTTGGTGTGTTGTCCGAGGTGCGCCGCCCTTGCGCTCGATCCCGCGACCCCGAGGAAGGGCTATGACCTGCCGCGGGCGGTGAAGGGCGGGAGGAAGTCGGGGCGGAGGGCGTCGCTGGCCACGGATCCAGGCGCTGGAAGGACTGCTCGGCTGCGTGTGGCTCTACTACCTGGCACTGGCACTGGGAGCGGGAGGCGAGGCGTCGTGGCCGGTCTCTCATCGGCTGCCACGATGGTGCCGGAAGCCAGGCTGTGCTAGGGCGGCCGCGGCGCTCAGTGATGGTGGCGCGCGGGGGGCGAGTGATCGGAGCAAGTGCCACGGCGGCTGACGGCGGCGGGGGCGCGCGACTTGGCTCGAAGGGCATGGGCGCACGGGGCCTCGAGTGATAGTGTTTTCTGGCGCGGGAGTGTGTGTTCGGGCGGCAGTCGACCCGCCCATGTCCCTTACAGCTCAGGAGGTGGTGGAGCGCGCGGGCGTGGAGTTGTCCAAGTGTATCACGGGCCTGGGACTCCGCTCCCGCAGCAAGGACAAGGAAATCCGCGACGCCCCGGGGGCAAGCGGAGGCGGAGGCAGCGGCGCCGAGGGCAGCAGGATGGGGTCCGTGCGGCGGGGGGGCGTCATGGAGAAGGTGGCCAACGTGCTGTGCGGGAACAGCGTGGCCAGCAGTGGACTCGTCAATGGCAAAGCCAAAATGGACAAACCGATTCCGCCGGAGAAGCCGAGTCGCTTCCTGCTGGGGAAGGTCCGGAACGGCGTCCCGGCGGGGCCCTCGGGCAACCCCCTGGTGCCCTTCAACGGCCACCAGGGGTCCCCGCGCCCCCTGCGCGCAGCCAGGTCGCCGGCGCACCTCCTGCGGGGGCACCGCTTCCTCACGTGGGACGAGCTCATCCGGGACGAGGCTTTCCTGGCCAGGTTCTTCTCCTACTTCTCGCCCATCGAGAGGACGGTGCTGGCCCAGGTGTGCCTGCGGTGGCGCGCCGTGCTGTACCAGCCCAAGTTCTGGCACGGCGTGCGGCCCGTCCTCCACTGCCGCGAAATGCGCCACGCCAACGTCGAGCTCACCACCGACATGCGGCGCCGCTTCTACGTGTCGGTGCAGAAGCGCGGCTTCGACTCCCTCGTGCTGATGTGCGCCAACGACGAGGACCTCATGGACCTGGTGGCCAACTACGCCGTCAACCACACGAAGGCGCTGCGCTCCGTGGCGCTGCGCTGCTCCAACGTGTCCGACAAGGGCCTGGAGACGCTGCTCGACCACCTCAACGGCGTGTACCAGCTGGAGCTCCAGGGCTGCAACGACGTGACGGAGGCCGGCCTGTGGGCGTGTCTCAACCCCCGCATCGTGTCCCTGTCCGTGGCCGACTGCATCAACGTGGCCGACGAGGCCGTGGGCGCCATCGCCCAGCTCCTGCCGTCGCTCTACGAGCTTAACCTCCAGGCCTACCACGTCACCGACGCCGCCCTCGCCTTCTTCAGCCCGCGACAGACGTCCACGCTGTCAATCCTCCGCCTCCACTCGTGCTGGGAGCTCACCAACCACGCTATCGTTAACATAGGTATGTACCCACGTGGCTTTTTGCATAAACACTGGCTGTTGTTGGTGCGAGTTCACGGGGAAGGGAGAGCGTGCGCCCCGCTGTGTTTTCATGGCCCGTCGTGGGCCGCGGCGCTGGTGCATTCCCTTTAATGTGATCTTTAGTTCTCACTCTCCCCGATATTCGCAGATGAGGCGAGTTTTTCAAAGACGCCGTGGTGGGTCCGTAGACCTTTTCTTGTGAATGAAGAGAGAAATAGTATTTTTTCTCTTAT